AACCAGGACTGTTAAGTGTTTATAGGTACGTATTACCTATATATTGTATTGTTCAATTGATTGAATAAACAATATAGGTACGCGTAGAGTTATTCAATTGTAACCGTGATTTTATAGTTCATCAAGACACTAAACAATTGGTACTTACTCATTTGCATGCATTGTTTTTTAATAAAACCCGTCTCACTTGGCTCGAAAATTACCGTTTAAACCGTGTTTCTTTATTATATACCTGTATACAGGTACCATTATAATAACCTGGAGACAGCATGGCAGGCGGCCGAGGGAAGGTGACGGGGACCTTCCGTCAGACGTCCCTCCCCTCTCCATGTACGAGTCGTCTAGACCGGCTGGCGAAAGCCGGGTCACGAAGACTTGGGAGGCAATGACTTAAGCCTTCCGTCGCCCTAAGCAATTTATATTTTTGATTGTAAACCCTCCGAATGCTGCTCCCTGGTGGATTCAATATATACACTATACGCTAAGGAAAGTCCGCCAGGTAGCGGGGCTGCAACCTAACAAGTTAAAATAAAATGTTTTGCTTGCAACAATAAACGATAGCGGCCGGAGGAGAAGCAATGCCAACAGCAGTTTCTCCTCCGGTCCTCGACACGAAGTTAAAAAAAATGTACCAATATAATAAAATTCGTATTACAAATTACAATATAGCCATGATTTAATATAAATTAATTTCCAAATTAAAAATATCAGTATGTAACCATGTAGGTATTAGGTATAGGTACTATATTTTATTTTGTACACTAAGGTTGTTATTTTTTCATAATATCCCCCCTCAACTATGCACCTGTGTAACTTGATGGTTATCGCTCACTTCTACTTAAAAAAAAAGCTTCTGAAGTTACGTTGGAGCTAGTACTTAAGTAGTTTATAGAAGAAAAATCCGTATGTCTTAAGTCAAGGTATATTTATTATTTATTAAGGATATATATATATGTATTAGATTTGAGGACAGAGAACAACTTAGTAGGTACCTACTTATTACTACAACTGTACCTAATATGTTAATTTAATATTTAAATTAAACTTATTGCGTGTGTATAACAATTATATTGACAATTATTATATTACTTGGTAATGGAAATGACGTCTTATATACAGCCATACAGGCAGCGATGTTAACTAAATTTTGTACAACGACCTGCATCGTATAAGTAAATAAGTTAGCTGGAAATATGAGACTTACTTATGGGCTATGACTATATTCTTATTTTTGTTAACGTCTGCCGTCTGGGTTTCTCTTTTATGCCGGGGCTTATACACGGAGTATTCAGCAGGTTTTTCCGTCGAATTAAAAATTAAATGGCTTATATCGGAGCAGCATTACATGTCGGTCGTAATACGCCGTGTAAAACCCCGGCCTTAGTACTTTTATTTACACGGTAACTGGTGAGTGATAAATATGATTATAAATTGAAGCTGACATGGACACATTTCTTTGTGAATTCGGAATTGTCTTATTATGGTTGGTTATTGCGAATATTACAATTCTAGGAATTATAGGTATTTTTTGCATTTTTATAAACAATATTAAGTAAATAACGAATAACGATTACAATATTGTACAACTCGGCGATGAGATATTGACTTTGAGTAGGTACATTTGAATGTTTCCAGTTGTTTCAATGCTGCGTTCTCTATAATTAAATAATATACGTATATAGGTATTTTGTATTGGAAATACGTGACGATAAAGCAATTATTGCTATAGTAGATTACCAATATAATATTTTATATATTATTATAATAAACTTCTATTATTTCAGTGACAATAACATTATTGAAAAAAAAACAAGTTCAAAATAGTTCAAAAATGTGATGTTATATTTTTTAGTCATTCATATTATAAAGGTACTCATATAGTCACATCGTTAAGTTAGGTACTCCGTATATTCATATATTATATAAACTTCACGTCACTCGAGTTTAAAAATTGTATGTAGGTACCTACTCGGCTCACCAGTCTGTAGACAGGTGTTCCAGGACTCGGTGACAAAAAAAAAAAAATCTGAAAATATTCTCGTGGATTCTTTTGTGTGTGGTGTGTCTTTCATTGCCACCCTCTCACCGCGAAGGCACCGCCAGACACATTCGTTGTATACTTATTTTGTAATTCACACAGCTGTAATCGTACACTGGTTGCCCTCCTCAATAATAACACGTTGTAGTTACGTAGGTACTGCATAATGTGATCATAATATTATTCATTTAATAATAATAATAAATTAATATGTACCTACTTCCCTATTTATTTATATTATTATTATTTTTAATAAGTACCTACTAATTAATTGGTCCAGTGATTTAAAATAATTTCTATATGCATTGATTTTTACAATGTCATATCGATAGACATATTATAGGGCATTAACTAGTTACTTCATTTTCAAATCAACTTATAAGCTTAACTAGTTTAATTGACATTTGAAACAACTTGGCTTTTGTCAGTTGATTTAAAAATAATCCAATCAAGTTAAACATATTTTGACATTTTTCGTAAATAGTAATATTAAAATAAAAATAACCCAATAGGTACCATAACAATATAAACATTTATTTTATTTTTCTTGATATAATAATTTTATAGTATCTATAATCTATATAGATATAGTTTAGATAGGAATAATATTATATATTACCTTAAATTAATATTTGTTAAATTATATTAATTTACTTTATTAAACTTTTCACTTATTATCGATCTTGTGTTCTCTTACTTAACTTGGCTTAAATTAATTATTTTCATTAACTTGCCCACCTTCAAAAGATTATCACGATGTTTAACAGTTAACATGTTTTTAAATATAGTTAAATTATCTGTATCCATAAAATGTACGAGTTTATAGAGGACCGTAACGTTTATCTACTGTTTAATAATAATATCTAATAATCAGTGACATTGGTTATTCTATTAAGATACTAAATAGAAACAGTCTCCACGTCTTAAATGCCAAATCCTCATCTGTGCCCCGGGAATTGTGATGGCTTACCTATTTCTGATTAACCAGTGCTAGGATATGCGGATATGCCGCCTGTCTGGCTAGCGACTGCCCATGTACGTGAAGTACGAGTACCTAGCCCGTGGTATCTTTTCATTTAATAATTACGTCTTAGTGTCTTGCATGTGAACATCCAGTTATGGCGAAATAACATATCAAGTATAAAGTGACCAGATATGTTTATTTTTTTTTTTTGTAAAAGCGGTGCAGGTACCGCCAAATAAATAAATAAATTCCTTACTAGGACATCCTCATCGTGTCTTCTTACAAAATTAAAATTAAGTAAAATAAAATATGATAAATTCTAATAATATAAAATATTTGTATTTATTTGTATTTTAAATATTTTTGTGATAAACTGTAGAAGTTAAGAAGACTACATTGAAATCACAAAATCGGGACAAAAGCTGCAGGATCATTAATAATATTCAACTCTGTAGGTACATTTTATTGTCCCGGACAGACATGAATATTGTATACATGAATATGGAGCTGCATAACAAAAAAAAATCGGTACTGTGCAATGTGCATGCCGCCTAAATCAGAATAATGCCTGGTTGTCACACTAACCAAGCAGTCTTCGTATAATATAAGTAGGTATTCATTGTGTTCAACAACTGCCGTCTGTGTGTGCCCAACTCTCTCTTATACATATATTTTATTAAATATATTATATTATATTATATTATGTGCAGGACGCAGGTGACGATCATAATACAGCAGGTCACAGGGCAACAGGTGCAACATCTTTTATTGTTGGTACGTGGGTGGGTGGGTTCACACAGTGATTCATTCAGCAACACCATTATATTTACATAACCGCCACCACTCCTACCAACAAAGTATATACCTATATATTATTATTATTATTATTATCCTACCTACCACTGCTACACAAGCTGTAGGTATCTGATTTTGAAAAGGAATTTTTCGAGTTTCGACTCATCGTCAAACAAGTGAAAATTTTTATAAAAACCTACGCTTACTGTACGCTGCAGTGCAACACTCATATAATATTAGTAGATTATGTAGCTATGTATTAGTGCTTATGATAAAATATAATATTATTGTAGATGTATTTGGTACGGAAATGTCTAAGCATGATGATACCCAATAGATCATAATGATTAATGAGTCTTGAAGTCATTATATTATAATATATTTATATCGTGAGCTTAGAGGTGACGCCATAGAAATATCTTTCAAAAAAGCGTCTACTGCTGGCTAACAAATTATTGTAAGTGGTAAATCGAAACACTGGATACACGCTATCGTAGTATCGTGGTATTATAATAATAATAATAATTTTTTAATAATAATATTATTATTATTGTACAGTTCGGCAGTCGGCACGACGTCGGTGTCGCGTCGGTCGGCATCGGCGGTCGGCAGTCGCCGGTGTAGAGTTTCTCGTGTACGGTGGGAACGGGCCCGCCCACAAATGGTAACTGTGTATAGAAAATCCTTGACAAAACCTACAGGCTACAGTATTATTTAAATTTAAACAACAACAAAAAAAAAAAAAAACCACTATCAACGTCGTTTAGGAATTAGTGATAACGGTTCATTCTCTCATTAGTCATTACCGTGGCTGATGTGCTTACTGCTTTTAGTAGGTTGTTGCCGCTTTAGGTAGCTGGTGCTTCGTACGTTTTTTCCCTTCCTGCCGACGCGAATAACGATTAGAAATTCGAATGATGTAGGCGTTCTTGGATAAGGTCTTCCACGCGCATTGAATAATATCTCGGGAGTTTGTTTTCTGTCTGTCCGTGTTTGTGTACTCGCGATGTGAACAAAAAAATATGGATCCCTCGAATAGGTAGTCGACATAAAGTTTTCGAATTATTCATCATTATGCTGCGCTGTTAACGTGTTGAATGCGGAAGATGGGCCGAACATAGACACTTAATGCTTACCGTTTTTGCAGCATCCGTTCATTTAAGACCCCAATCGTTTCGTGTAGCATAACTGTTTGATACGATCATGTTGTTTGCATACTTGTTGTTGGTGTCGACTCTTTTCTACGAAGTCTTGATTTCCAATGCCAAAAAGGACTGTCCAAAGAGATGTGAATGTCTCGGCTCGTATGTCGACTGTAGCAAAACAATGCTTAACACATTTCCAGAAGGGTTGCCTCAATGGATGGAAACTTTGTAAGTAACCAAATTTCCACTCAGTACTTAGTCATTTACTCATTTGTACATAAACTATAAAAATGTTCTTGCTTCTTTTTCTATATCACATTTATTATGACAACAGTCCAATAGCACATTACCTAGGTACTTAATATTGTTTCCCTATAAACCAAATGTAGGTACCTACTAAATTAAATTTTAAAAGTAATTAGTTTAATTCTAGTAGTAGTAGGTATCGTGCCAAGTTTAAAGGGCTTGTCCCCTAAAAATTGTAATTAATAAATAACTGCATTTTCTATAAATTACATTGAAAAGTAATTTTGACTTCACAACTATGACTCCAAAGTCCGAATTTAATATTGACCGAATGAGAGCCACTATTTAAAATGTAATCATTACCTAATTTTTATAATAGTTATACTTGAAAAAAGTAATGTAGTACAATTTATTAAACTTCCCTACCTACCTATGTACATTTTACAACAAAAAGATCCCTAAACATTTTTTTAAAAAACATACTACCTAATTCTAAATCTAAATGGATAAAAAATATGCTCTATATATGATAACAAAAATCAGTGTTTCTATTTAACATAAGACAATTTTACTGTAAATGAGAGTACCTACCAGAAAGATTAATAATAATGTTAAATATTCCTACAATTAATGTATAGCACTATAGCCTGTAGCCTATAACTTTTTAAAATAATTCAAACTATACTCTATTCAGAATAAGAATTCCCACTTTTGCGCACTCAACTGAGCCGCCAGCAGCCGTCAGACCCCCTGGCGAGTGTTGGCTGCGCTGTGATTGGTCGCCAGTTATCGAAAACTACCGTCACCCGTCGCTATCGACAGTTGCCGTCGTGTATACTGTATACAGATGGTCATAACAAGATCGTAATAATTATTACCTATTATGTTATAATGTATATTTTTTTTCTTTACCATGTTTCTTGTACTTATACCTTATTGTTCTGCACCAAACACAATGCCTACGTTGTATACCATTATTCGTGAAACAGTGTGATATTATTGTTCACTACGGATACACATGTGGCATGTCGGCGGCGGCACACCAAACATCACTGCCAATTGGCGGTAATAGACATGCTCGAACAAGACGAGTTTTTGTCAAGCTAGGGGGAATTCTTATTCCGAATAGAGTATAAATCCAACCTAATCTGCCCAAGAATTTTGGTTTTACTTAAAATTATAGCATTAAATCTAATTAAATGAACTATTTATTAAAAATATTACTCTGAATTTATTAGCAATGATTCTTCTAGATATAGTACCTACATTTATTTAATTTAGGTAATCATTAAAAAACTGTAATCTAGATCTTGATACATACATTTTTTCAATAGTTAAATTGTATATTTTATTTCTAGGGATTTGAGTGTTAATAAGATTGATGGAACTGTGGCAATCAATACTAATAGTTATGAATATCTAACATCATTGTAAGTAATCAATATTAAATCTATTTAAATTATATAATGTATTATTTTACTTGGTAACAATTTAGGGAATTACTCTAGTACAGTAGAACTCCGAATATCCGGACAAATTAATTTGAAGATGGTCGATAATTTATTAACATTTATTCATACCAAAATACCAACGCATCGGTGATAGCCGATAATAGGCATTCGATAATAATTGTATGGAATGATTTTTATATATATATATATATTTTATTTTTATTTTTGCTCGTTCGGATAATAGGTGTTCTACTGTAATTACATTTTATATTATTATTGTTTATTATGAATTGTGATGCAGGTATACAATTTTATAAAATTCTAAATAGAAAATATAAACAATAAACTATAAATTCAATATAAAGGCTTAATAAGGTATTAATAATAATGTTTTATCTTTGTATAACAAACTTATTTTTATATTTGAATTTGAAGTGTACTTATTGAATCAATACTAGCTAATGATATTTTGTTTCTAATTTTGAATATCAATAATTTAACAAAATTAGATTAAACTATTATTACATATAGGCAAATGACAATATGATGGTATTTTGGTGACTTGTCAATGTGTGACAAGTAAATGAACATAGTGTAACATAGTGACTAATGCTACTATAATATAGATATTTATTATTTTATCGTTAGCCTATATTATAATATCATTTTTAAATTACAACGGTTATTCTTTGTTTAAATATCTAATTTTGTCCAAACCTGAACTTAAACAAATATCTATAATAAAAAACTGTGTTTGTATATTTTTTTTAGATTTTTCAGTGACAGTATGAACTACTTATGAAAAACCTTGTTTTAAATTTTAAATTCTTAGCTATTAAAACTGAACATTTTATACATTTCTAATTACAAAATATAGAGAATTTGATTAATATTGTCAAATTTTTAAAATTAAATTTTAATTAAAAAATTGTGCTTATTTATCTTTAATATTTTTAACAGTTATTAAAATTTGTTAAGGGCCGATTTCACCAACATAGTTAATCACGATTAAAGTTAACCGGAGTTCTAATCAGCCAAATTTGGCTGGTTATATATCTGTGATCAGCCGATTAATCGTTAACCGTGATTAACTGTGTTGGTAAAATAGGCCCTAAACAACTAAACAACTAGAGGAATCTTGTATTCAACTTTCAAGTTTTTTGACTAACGAACATTATATTAAAATGTTTATAGAAAACATTTTTAAATGCTTATAAACAAAATTTTAAACGCAGACTTATTGAAACTCCTACTTTAGACTCTCATAAAAAATATTGTGGTTTTAAACTTAAAAAGAAATTTTTTTGGTCTATAGAATATGTTAATATAAACATCCGGTGAAAATTTAAAGTATTTACAGATATTAGTTTTTTAGTTACATCAAAACAACTAAATCGATTTCCTCCAAAACTAGTTTTGATTTAAAATCACCAATTTTTGTTTTTACCAACACTTGAAAACTTCAATTTGACCTCTAAAAAATACCAATCAAATTCTATCATCGATCAGAAAAATTGATAGAAGTATTATTTATACTAGAAAAAAATGTTAACAGACAAAACCAAACACATCATTGTAAAATCAATATGTTCATTGCTCCAGAATTAATTAATTTACTGTGTTTCAATCAGAGGAAATGTTAATATTTCTTGTTGAAAAAAAAAATATTAACATTTCCTTTGATTAGAACACAGTAAATTTTTAAATAAATCAAAATTAAAATATACCTAACCAATTTCATATAGTTTTGGCATATGGCTTAGGTCTACTTTTTTGCGTAGCAACTGTCATTTGAAACTTCAATTAAAACAATTAAAATCATAGTCTTTAAAGAAGATCATTCTTAATTTGGTTTTGGCATAAAGGCTTTAGATTTTGTTAAATAAATTTAATATGTATATAATATTATCTATATTAACTTAATATCTAATACTTTAAGAATGCCTAATATATAATTATGTATTATTATTTAGACATGTTAGGTACATTTACGAGAAAAAAGACTGTTGTGCAAAAAACGAATTATAAAATGTAAATTATTGTATAAACATTTACCCTAAGCAACTACAATCATTTTTAAAAGATTGGTCTGAACTAAAAACAGACCTCGGAACAACCTGATTATTTTAGATGAAATTTCAACAGAAAATTTAGAATTTAATTTTTGTACTAAATAGATAACTTAATTTTTCATTGAACATGTCCCTCATATTTAGTATCACCTCAAGTATTTGTAACGGTTCTTATCATTATTAATTTAGGTACATTTAAAAATTATATTATTTTATTCATCAAAAATATATTCAGAATAGAAAATATAGTTGTGATGCACTAAAATACATTTTTTTTCACTTTTGACTTAAGTCATGTCTGGGTAGTATTGGGTAGTGTTTACTGTACTTTTGTATGCCATAGTCAGTTAAAGCTTTTTATCTCATAATTTATTTGTATAAGGCTTAAGACTTAACATCAACTAAAATGTTAAAACTTGTTAGGTTTTATATTTAACAAATTACTTAAAATCCAACAATTGACTTTTTGTATTTTTAGGAAACTTACTAAGAACTCTATTGCATCTTTTCCAATATTTGTAAACGGATCGACTGTCAGTATTTTAAATTTGTAAGTTTAATTTTGTTATAGCTTATCAAATGTTGTATTTTTATATTGATATTAAGTTAACTTTAAAATTTTTGATTTCAGAGCACATAATAAAATAGAAAAATTGGAGGGTCTAGAGCATTTACCTAGCTTAAAAAATTTGGACATGAACAAAAATAAATTGACATTTTTGGATGATAAGTCCTTTTCACACTCTACACACTTGAAAATACTGTTAGTATAACATTCTACATTTTAACTTATTCTTCAATAATAATAAACTTAAATATGGATTTTAATGAATCTATTGTATCTTTATTTTACATTTATATATATTTAGGAATCTGAACAATAATTTAATCACCAACTTGAGTGCAAATTGCTTGGACACATTGACACATTTAGTAGAGTTAAAAATATCCCATAATAAGCTGAACCATTTACCTGTTGGATTATTCAAAAAACTTACAAATCTTGAAACACTGTAAGTATTGATTTTGCATTTATGTATGCGTCTTACATATATATTTTTTTCTTCAACTTCTATTGTCTCTTGAAAACATTTACATTTAATTTCAATAAACATTGGTTATTTTTAGTGATTTAGGTAGAAATCACATAACTGTCATTCATGGTTTATTATTTAAGGACTTGGTAAATTTGAAAACCATAATACTTCGACAAAATCTTATTGAAGATTTGCAAGATGGATCATTTTATGGATTGGTACATTTACAAGCATTGTAAGTATATTTTATATTTAATGCATTATCAAACTAATTTTTAATAATGACTACTTGATTAGTTTGTTCTTGTAACTTTTTATTTTTCTAAATGCAGACATTTAGAAGATAATAATGTGAACAAAATATCCAAAGGCTGGTTATACGGATTGAATTCACTTATCTACTTAAATATAAGTTATAACAGAATAGATCAAATAATAAGTGGATGGGAATATTGTGAAGACCTTGCAGAATTGTAAGTCATACATTAAAATTTTTGTTAAATAATTGATTAAAATGCTTGAAACTATTTAAATAATTTATATTGATATTAATATTGTAAATACAAGTATATTTTAATTAATACACATATTTATAATGTTGGAAATACAAGTATATTTTAATTAATACACATATTTATAATTTTGTTTATTTAGGGATTTGTCTTATAATAAACTACAGTATATTCAAAAGAGTAATTTAGAAAATTTAAGGAAGTTACATAAACTACATTTAAATAACAATAGATTATCATTCATTGAAGAAGGTTCATTTAATAATACACCAATGATCCGAACACTGTAAGTTATATTAGTATGCATACTCTATATAATTAGTCATATTTATATACCTAATATTTATTTTAAACAGATTTTATAATACTAAAAATGTATAATATATTAGGACTAAAGGCCGGATAAATCTAATGTAAATCTATGTACACCAATCGGAATAATTAAAGTCTTCCTATTTAATTTTATATTGCAATCTTTTGAAATCTTTGTATACTTTACGTAATAAAATATATTTGATATATTTTCTTAGCAATTTAAAATATTTTTAACTTAATTATATCCGGTCTTTAATTATGATCTAAAGTATTTGTATGATGTAGATTTTTTAATGGTATCTACTATTCTATACTCTGGGCCACGAGAGAATGCACCCTGCACGCGCATCCAAATGACGGCGCTCCCCGAGGCTAAATTTCCCCTCCATATGATCACTAGTCTATGGTACACACCTGCAGCCAAAATCGACATGCTCCGACGGGTGGCTATCTGGCCGGTGAAATGGTGGAGATGGGCGAAAAAAGACTAATTTTGGTCCGCCGCTGGATGCATTCTCTCAAAGCCCAGAGTATTGGGGAAAGTTTAAGTCATTGATTTATAAAATTAATTAGTTTTATAACAGCATTAAACTTTTTACTTCCAATTTTTTTTTTCATAAATATATAAATTGTAACATATTATATATTGTTTTCAACTATACAACAAATAGTTTCCAATTAATTAAATGTTTCTTTTAAATATTATAATACAATTCTTAAATATTTCAATATTTTTTATTAATTTCCTTATTAATATAAAATTCGCAAAGAGCGTAAGTCCAAAATTAAAAATTTTTCAAGAGAGGAAAAAAACGTTTCAAACATTCCATCATTACATTTTCATAGCTGATAATACATAATTATATACTAAACAATTTTATATTATCTATGTACATTTATTACAATGCTATTTACAGATATATATTATATTCTACTATACTAGATGCCCGAAAAAAAAACAATGAAGAGGAAAATGAGTGTTGCGGAGATGAGAATGTTAAGGTAGATGAGTAGAGTGACGAGAGAGGACAGATTAAGAAATGAGTATATGAGAGGTAGTATAGGAGTGGCTTCAATAGTTGACAAAATGCGTGAGAATAGGTTGAGATGGCTAGGACATGTTTTAAGAAGAGAATAAATGGAGGCAGTTTCAGTGACGAAGAACATGAGTATGGATGAAAAAAGAGGAAGAAGAGACCGAAAAAAGAGATGGTTTGAAGTTATGAGAATGATGGTGTTTGTGAGGAGGATGCTAAGGATCGTAGTAAGTGGAAATTGAGGATCAGGGTGGCCGACCCTAAATAATTGGTAAAGAAGGGGAAGGAAAAGAAGAAGATACTAAATGCCCTACTCTATATTCTACTGTGTTTGGGTTTTTGAAGCCAAGTAGGTCATTCAATGTTTACAATCTGTTATAAATATTATAGTATATTATAATAGATAGAAGATTGTTAACATCGATTTGTAAACATGGCCCAACCATATAGGTTAGGGTATAGGACGATTGGCTTCAAGTATGGTCTCCGAGTAGGGCATCTAGTATTGTAGTATATCTGTGATGCTATTACAATTCTTAAAATCATAACGTCAGAGATACGATTATTATTTATTTTTAATTATCAATTGCATGTAGTATAAAATGATAGAATTTCAGTTACAACTTTATCATACGATGCGGTTTTTTTCCTTAATTTTAAAAACTAATAATCCTAAAATCCAAAAAAAAGGAGTTACGCCCTTTGCTACTTAGGCCGACGATGTGTGTAGTATACTAACTATCATTCTTTTTACTATTTGTAGAAACACATTTACCTTATAAAACTACATTTTCTGTTTTTAGTCACTTGGATCACAATTACTTGTCGTGGCTAATTGAAGATGCAAAAGAAACTTTTATTGGTCTAAGAAATTTGAAAAAATTAAGTTTAGCTAATAACAAAATATTATTCATTAAAAAAGAAGCCTTTACTGGTTTAGACAATCTAGAGGAATTAAATTTACTTCAAAATAATGTCCTAGAAATCCAGGATGAAGCATTCAAATTCATGCCTAAACTTGTATATCTATATTTAAATAGTTCTTCACTAGTATGTGACTGCTCAATGGCATGGCTTAAACAACCAAATATATTTGAGAAGTTACCATTCGATTTCATAAATGCGTTTTGTGGCTTCCCAGAAAAAAACAAAGGAAAGAATTTGATAGACGTACCCTTGACTGACTTCGTATGTCGTAAGTATTAAATATTAATGACCTTAATTTTTAAATTACAGCACTACAACATTTATTTTTATTTTAGTCAAGAACAGTCCAAAACCCATGATAATATTCCATCCAGAATCAAAAATGGTTCTGGAACATCAAAACATTACCTTAAAATGTGGAGTTAATTCTTCATCAAATGAAAAAATTAACTTTGTTTGGAAAAAAGATAACCACGATTTAGAATTGATTTCTACAAACCATTACTCATCCTTTGAGTTCAATGGTATGACTCAATTTTCCGTTTTGAACTTGTATAATATATCAATGTCACAAAGTGGTAAATATCAATGTGTTGCTTCTAATGAATATGGCATCACTTATTCTAATCGTTCAGTTTTATTAGTTGTTGGTAAGTATTCAAATGGATTTAGCAAAATAAAAGTTGAATATTTATTTTATTTTATTTTTAGTTTATCCATTTTTTGCTAAAGTCCCTGGAAATAGTTCAGTAAAGACAGGCCAAACTGCTAAGTTAGAATGTGCTGCAAATGGTTATCCAGTTCCTCAAATATCTTGGCAAAAAGATGGTGGAACTGATTTTCCAGCTGCACAAGAGCGCCGTATGAGAGTTATGGCTAGGGATGATGTTTTTTTAATTGTCGATGTAAAATTAGTTGATATGGGCATATATAGCTGTACTGCTAAAAATGTTGCTGGAATGATTGCTGCAAATGCAACACTTAATGTTTTAGGTATACAAATATTATTTATATACCTTTTTATACAATGTTATTTATTGACGGCTAATTCCCTTTTTTTCACAGAACCCCCTTGGTTTAAAACTGAAATGTCCAACAAACAAGTTAGGGTTGGCGAAGAAGTCGTTTTAGAATGTTTAAGTTATGGATCTCCAAAACCAAAAATAAGATGGATTAAAGATGGCATTTCTCTTTCCCTGAGCAATAGACATTTTTTTACTGCTGAAAATCAACTTTTAGTTATAATGGAAGCAAATACAGATGATTCGGGCACTTATGAATGTGAAATAACTAATTCTTTAGGAGTGAATAGTCAAAAAGTAGATGTTCTAGTTATGCCATGTAAGTATTATTGTATATATATATATTAAATATGTTATTGATTAATACCTTATTTGTATAAAAATAAAAATAAAATGTGATAAATGTGAAATAAAAAATAATATAAAATTAAAAACAAAATACCTAATAATAATTTTTAAACAATACACACTAAGTTATTAATTGATTTATAATTTTTATTTATTTTACATAAAATAATAACCACTAAGATATGGTATTTTTACTTATAAATATCACCACCAACTGGATGGATATTTTATATATTATAATGCCATTAACATCAAAACTCCTCTTAAATTTAAAATTATATTTCATAATAATAATTAACTATATAATATAATTAAAATGAAAACTATTTTATAAATAAGATTCTAACTAGCTAGTACAAATTCAATAGATTATTTGTATATTACCAATGTAAATAGTATTGAAATTATAATTATCTTTATGTTAGTTATGTTTCCTCCCCTAAAATTATAAAAAATGTATATTTCAATTTTAAGGATCAGATCTTAAGATAGATTAGGAACATATATTGATTGTTTTTTCGAGAGGAGATTCGATGTATTTATATTGTGGAATTAAAATATTTCTAATTATTATAGTATTAACATTGATATTTGATTATAAATACTATAAATTGCTCACTTGCTGGTTTTTCAGTGGAACGAAATATTTACTCCCAGAAGATGGCGAGGCGATGAGACTACTAGGGATTATATTATGTGGTGGTTAGTAATGTCATATAGCGATATAGTCGCTAGTAGTGACGTCGCCTCATCATCTACTGGGAGTAAATATTTCGGACCACCAAAAAACGTCCAGTGAGCAATCAATAAATCTATAGTATCTGATTCTAAACATAAACAAAAATGCATTCACATATACAAAAATAAATGTGAAAAAAAGTTTCACCAATGAAGTCTCTATTTAATGAAACAATTTATATACTTGGAAAGCATTTCCTAAGATCACCAAAAAAAAAAAAAAAAATGCACTTTGCATTGAAATCCGGGCTTTAATTTTACATACTATTATACATACTGTATTGTTTTAATTTGATTTTACATTTTCTAGTGTATCGGAGTTTAATACACGAATATACTCTTGGATTTATCGTCATTGCAATAATTGTATGCATAATAATTATATCAGCAATTTGGGTATTATTCGTTTATAAAGCAAGACGCCCTTCGTCAAATTTGATCAATAGTGCCGATAATAAATCATTGGATTCTTCGAACAGCAAAGACAGCGGTACTGGTGAATCCACTATAAGAAGTCAAGAACAATTATTCAATGATTGTAAGCCTTATTATATTTAAAAAAAAAATTAAATTACTAAAAATATTTTTTTATTTATCTAGGTTTGAATGTTCCTCAAAAATTGAATAATAACGTAGGCAATTTATCACCTGAAATAAATTTGCCCTTACTTACACACGCTTCTGTTGTTCTGGGCGAAAATTCTGTCACGTACAGACATTCAAAAACAGTTACCCTGCCTGCCCAATTACCAATTAAAGAACCAAAAGCAACTATTGAAGACCCAATGAAATGCGTTGAAACCTCTGAAAGACCGTGTTCTATATCCGTTCCACCGCTAAACAAAGCTCAGGATTCACCACCAATTGTTCAACAATCAAGTTCTCATGTTATCTTATACAAGCCAACTGATGACCCTTGTTAGTAATCGTTTGATCTAATTATTTTTTAGCTGCCTATGGTATTATGTAAAATGTATATATATTTTTTTCTATTATTCCAACTTAATCCTACTTAGATATTATTGAAATGTAAAAATGGTTCCTGTCTTTAATTTTTGTTTTTAATAACTTTAAGATTCTTTAATTTAAGTAAATTAACAAGATAATGTAATAACTTATATTTCCTTTAAATCCTTGACATAGATAGATTATTTAACCCATTGACGAATAAAGACGTGAATTGATGATTTTCTTATTATGCCCAGACGAGTAAAGACGTCAATTGACGTAATGTAGACTTTAGTATATTATATTATATTATATAATGACGTATAATGATGTATTGTTGAGTTAGAACACATAATATGTGCTGCTATTTATCAAGGAAACTTCTTAAATTTCCTAAAATAATAACTAGATTAGAACATTATATGTATATTACATTTATTACTATATCATCTTTTTCCATATGTAACATAGGTTGCCTATACTAATATTTTAATGAACTTTCTGGGTGGTGATTGTGAATAATAATTTCCTCGTCAAAGGGTTAAAATTAATCATATTTATTGCGATTTTCATTTCAATAAGCTAACTCAATTATAAAAATTAATTTGTATGTATTACTGTTAAAATGCTTTCAATATCATACATTTATTGTTATTAAACATTGTATGGCCATTTATAGCATGTACATGAATATTTAAACATCTATTAATGGTTAATTAACAATTTAATTACCTACTACTAAATTATAACACAATACCTTAAACTCTCGATTATCTGTGGTCTTCCGCTGAACTATAAGAATTATGTATATATGTAAATAATATAAAAAATCAGTAGAAAACTTTGCAAGTCTAAAAACTTTCCTCCATTTATTGCTGATAACAATCCCGTTCCATTCAGGGATTTTGAAATCGAAAGATGTACTTTTTTTGTCAAGTTTTTGCCTACCAATGTGGGAATATGCTTATTTGTGATTGCCACGCCACTATTCAGTGGTTGATCGAGAGTTTACTGTACCTATTTTTATTTCTTTTGTTACATCTTGTATTTAAATTAAATTTTTATAAGGTACAACTTTAAACATTTGTATGTGTATTATGGATCTCATTACAAATATTGTTACAATAACTACTTATATTTTGTACTACTTAATTAAAACTTATAATAATAATGATAACAAATAAAATTCAAGTATTTAATAATATTTTAATTATTTATTTATTTTAAAATTTGTAAACAAATAAATAAAATAGATCATTAATGTGTCCAACCTGAAACAACCAAGATTGGACTGGCCTGATATGCTGGTGTGCTGAAGTACATCAGGCCATGGACCACTGAACATTTGGCGATATTACCATTACATTTATCCTAAATACCAAATAGTTTTAAGCCACAACTGTTGAGCTTTGAGCAAATAGAAATAAGTAATATAATAAGCCCATGATAAAAGCATACAGATTGTAATATGTACCTATAGAAGAAATGTATTAGCATTGAGTATAATGTATTGTACAATATAATATTATACTCAATGGTATTAGGTATAAATTAATCAAGTACTCATGTGTAATATCATTCATGTTATAAGTAACTAGCTGTTACCCGCGTCCTCCGCCCCCGTGGATAGTTGTTTGCAAATTGTGGGGCTATTTCGTGGCAAAAAATCCTGTCTATTTATGTTGCAACTTTTTTTTATATGAAAAGTAATTGAAGTGTATGTAACGTTGTATAAAATTGTTAAAAACTTTTCTTAACTTTTCCGTTACCCTAAAAAAATTCTAATTGTTCAACTGGTATAATACATAAGCGCCAAAATGAGTTAAGAAAAAAAGAGTTGTATAATGTATAGTACGAAAGCGCCAAAACCGTATCGTACGGTATTGCAAAAATCCTAGATCCCTGTGTGCCACGCTTTATAGATATTAGGTTCATTTAGAACTATATATTATATTTTAATAATTTTTTATAAGATTGAAAAAATTAACCGATTTATTCAAATTATATTTAAAAAAATTCTGATTGTTCAACTCCTTTTGGGTGTAATATTTGATGTTGAAGCAATATCCTTTTAAGTGTAAATGATATTATATTTTAATGAAGAGCCATTTCGACCGGCGTTATCCTGTAAGATTCGTAGCAGTATATTATCAGGTAGGCAATCTATGTATGTTAATTAATTGTTAAAGTTTTTACCATTGGAGACCGATAGTCTTAAGTTAAAATATATTATACTCTTTTTAAATTACTAAAAATTTGAAAATAATAAGTACTTATTTAACTAGTTTTTTGTAGTTAATCATATTCCCGTATTGGTTATATATCCAATATTATATCTTTCAAACAAGAATAATATGACAGGTAACGTTCCCGTGAGAAACGGAAATATAAAATGTATGTCATATTCCATCATGACTCATGACATACCTTAAAAAAAAGATTAAATAGAAGCCAAAGCCCAGAAGACAGTTAGGCAACTTCTGTACTCTGTACAAATATTTGATAGTGACTCTACAATGGTTGTCGTTATAAGTTATAGCTACCCATCTAAATCGAACTGAAATTTTACAATCGATTTTACATTTTTCAATAATTATAGTAGTACCATTTTTTATCCTTACATTAGAAATAGAATAATTTAAAGAAAATATTGTAAAATTAATAATCAAAATTATAATTATTTTATAAAAATTATGTCACAAGTGATAAATAGTAATACATAGTACTTAATACATTATGTAAATACAATATCACTGTACAACTCTTAAAATTAATAATATTACACCTATATTATAAAGCTTAAAATAATTATAGTTATTATACATAATTAATTGTTTCTGCAATGCAATTCTTTCCTTCGAGTATTTTTAAAGTAAGTATTTTCAATATAAATGATTACCTACCAAATATGGTGAATGTTGAATAAATTAAAAATTGTCCATAATATTTATTTTTAGTTTCTTATTCCTATAAATAGCTTAAAAACAATCAAAATATTGTTCATAATTTTATCATGTACAGAGAAATTGGAGAGCTAAACATTAGGTGACAATTTCAAATAGTTGTTTTTCTTGACCCTTTTGATGACTACTGGAAATGTTCAATTTTTACCTTTATGACGCACCATCTAAAATCTAAATTCACTTTTTCCTCAGATAATTTAGTGAGGTTGAAGATTGAAGCATTATTTTGATACCCACTACGGCACTACCTATCATGTAGTGTACACCGACACACAAAAAAAAAACCACACATTAGTGTAAAATCAATTCATTCTTCCTTTCTGAACCACTAAATTGTAAATTCAAATTTAATTTCCTTCATATAAAATTACCATTATTTTGTTTTTGGAATGACGCACTTATGACTTATTATTACGGCTTTATAGTTATAAATTGTAATTCATGTTCTTAATATTATAACTTCTAAGTAGTTCTAACTTATAATTTTGTATAGTTATGCCTATATAAGATCTAAATTGAATAAAAAAGATAAAATACTTAAAGTACATCTTAATTTATTATAGACTATAATAGTGTCCAAAAGTTTCAAATTTAGGGATGAAATGCCCAATATAGTAACCATATTTAAATTGGTAATTTAGGGGTTCTCTATTAGTACCAAAATCTATAATACAATTTTCTGGAAAATATGCGATTAATGTTCATTGTAGAAAGTAAAGGTGTATGCTGTGGTCGTGATGACTGAACGATGCCAACGCCACGCCGAAACTGAACAAGGAAAACCGACCATCACCGTCTTATGACACTGGTACCTAGTGCGTCCAATGGTTATAATGCTTTTGATACTACTATACTCTTTTCCTCATTTCAACCGATGGACGCGGAAAAATGATGTTTGCACAACCTATTGCACCGTATAATCGGTGACGATCGTCAACCTCTGTACGTAACGAATTTATTTTCATACCTTATTTATTTATATTATCATTTCTGTTTATTGGTTTAGTTTAATGCGTTTATGAATATTTAAATCGACACATAAACCGTATTTCTGAAGTACATTACTATATTAAACAGTTCTTAAATAGTTTAATATACGATATTACAATTTATTATTTTCGGGACTTGGGAAAATGGTTCTTGAAGAAATTGTGCACTTGACAAGTCTTGGGAGCTTTAGAGGAAGCTGAAATTAGAGATGAAGGTAATCGGCTTAGGTAATATTATAATGCCCAAGATGTTATGGAAGGTTGGTGTGTAATAATAATAAATACCTAACCTAAAGTATTTATAGCCTTCTTAGTTCATATACCTACTTAATAAATTATATATATTTTATACTCATTATAATTTATTATATTTTTAGAACTATCTGACCACCAGTTTCTAAAAAGGTTTAGACTCAGTAAGGCTTTGGTTCAGGAGATAATGGAATATGTATTAACACCATACATGATTGAACCAAGTAGGTTATCTTCAATCCCAATTAAGATAAAAGTCAAGTCATAATTATTTATTTCTATATTATTAATAATAATGAATTATGATACAATATTAAAATGTTATATATGTTATATAGGTATATAGTGGTGCCTAGAAATTTAAAATTTAGTTTAATTGATAAGATTACTAATAGATTATTTGTTCAATATGACTTATTGATCAAAAAAAAAAAAGAAGCCATTGTTCATTTTAATTTTAATATGTCACATCATTGCTCTGTTGTTGACTAAAGATTTGTGACTCTGATGCCAGAATAATGAATGTTAATGTTAAATATCCTGGTAGCACTAATGATTCATTTATATATTTATATATTTAATGTATATATTTTTTATCAAAAAGAACATACCTTGAGGTTTTATAATCTTTACCAAGGCTTTTTTAAAATTTAAAAACATTTTAATTTTAAATCAGAAATTTTGAATTTTCTAATTTTTATATAAATTATAATTTTGATTTAAAATTTAAATATTAAGAATAATTAATTTTAATTTTTAACTTTTAAGTGCATTTCTATATTTCAAGTTGCTATTAAAACTTAAAAATAAAAAGTTATAAGTTATAAGAATATATTAAATACATAAAAAAAAATTTATCAAAAACGTTATTTGGAAACAATAGGAAAATAACGTTTTTAAAAAAGTTAAACAAAAACAATAGGAAAATAACGTTTTTAAAAAAGTTAAACAAAAACAATATTTTTTAAATCAATAAACAAATAGGAAACCGAAAAAATTAAAAACTTTTTCCATCCCTGCTTTATAGTGAACATTTATTGTGTTTAAACTTTCAATCATTTCTGTCTTTAATTTCTGCTTATCTTTAAAAGTTTTAAGTTATAATATACAATTCACTAGTTAGAAAAATTAGAAATACATGCTTCAATTTAGAGGTTTCATTACATTATGGAAAAAACTGTTGAATAATACTATTATTCCCAAAAATCGTCCCATCCAAAATTTGAATTTAATCATAATATCCTTTTAATAAATTATATTGATGAAATAAATATATAAATATTGAACAAATATCGCTATAATTATAATATTATAATAGAGCATATTTATAAGTAGGTATTATACTATTATATATAAAATAAATAAATAAAGTCAGTTTATCAATATTAGTATTTGTAACATTTGTTGTGGACAGATGCACACAACATGTATTTAAGGAATTGGTTATTTGTACAAAAACCTAATAAGGAGTAATAAGTAATAACTATACATTTATTATTCTGTTTACATTATATCATAATCTACCTATCTATCTATCTAATGACTTATACTATAAAGTATAAAATGAACAATTCGTGGAAAAAAGCTAACAGGAATTCCAAGGAGCAGAAAATTATAAAACTTTTCGGTTGGTTTTCAAATTTTTCGAAAAATGTTACGCTTTTTACACCGTTTTTCGACTTTTTCTCATCCCCATCACTGCTCTATTTGCGTAGTTCGTTTGTTTTCAAAGCCGATGTGCGGTTTGTACGCGATATGCCGATATCGGTTCGTACTGCTTCGTAGCCTTCGTAATCACCAACGGTGTTCCGTTCGTTCACTGGTCGGCGAATCATCTTAGTTCATGGTGTCAATGCTTTCCAATAGATGGCGTTTCAGTCCCTAAATTTTTCCCACTACAGAAATACCGTTGAATAACTTGACCGCAGAATATATTAACACCGTCGCCAGTCCATATTATCTTAGTTAATGGTAGGCACTGCGTTCCGTATCCTCAATCCTGTATACTATCTTAATATTCGTGGTTTACAGTATAATATTACACATTATTAATTATTATATTTAATCCGTGGTTCTAACTTCTAATACATATTTCACACTGAGCACCCCTGGTTGCTTTGTTTATAAATTTTACATTAGTTATCTTAATAAAATACTATTAAAGTATTCACTATTTACCATTAAACAGTTAAACATTTTTAAAAACGTAATTTTCTTTTTTATTTCGTTGAATTATCTATATTAATTTTGTTACCTAATACCTCTAGCTTTTAATGCTTTTATTATTGTTATAATGAAGTTCACAATACTTTCTTGTTTTGTATTAGTTCTAGGTTTATCATTCTTGCATAAAGGTAAGTTTATGTCTAAAAGGTGTAGCTGTCTTTTGTCAAGCCCTTACATAAGAATATTATTAAGGCTTAACTTGTCGTGTTTAGTAAGTGGAATCCAATGCTACCAGTGTTCTACAAGTAGCGACCCACAAGGATCTGATAATTGTGGTGCATACGAAAAATTCCACAAAGATCGTCATGTCTCGGTAGAATGCACTAGTGATGAATCTCATACGCCTGGCACATTTTGTGTTAAAGTAACCAAACAAGGCCTCCGAGGATTTATATGTGAGTCAAAAGTGTCTAATAATTGATTTGGTCAATATCATCAACACATTTGTATAGTATTCTAATATTAATACATTATGTGAATTATATTTTATTGTTTTAATATCAGGGGATGGTCGTTGGAGAAATGTGATCCGCCGTTGTGGATCGGTTTCTGATACTGGTGTGACAGGAGTATGCAACTGGGGAGTTGAATGGAATGGAGTTTATTGGGAAGAATGTTATTGTTCGGAGGATAACTGTAATTCTTCCACCAACATTACACCATTATCCGTCATAACAACCACACTGTGTTCATTAGTTACTATGTACATATTAAGGGATTGATCTATACTTATTTGTAGAGGTGACGGTATTTTTTTTTTACTTTAATATTTTTGTATGATATTGTATACCGGTATGAGGAGGTAAACCGAAAATATCGTTATACCGGTATTTTGGTTTGATGTTTTCGATATTTTGATGTTTACAATTTTATCGTTATTGCTGTATTTTCAATATTTTTTTTATACAATAGATTAATGTATTTAATTAATTAATGTGTTAATTTCTTCATCACTTATTTCCACAGTCTCAAAACTAGAAATGTTATTACCAAAATCAATAGTCGAGATATCACATTCTGTTTCTTCTGAAAAAAAGGTCTATACTAAAAATTTGGCTTCTTGAGTTACTTGACTTAAGCTACAAGTGAATGAAGTGGTATCCGAACGTAGTAAATTATTTTCCAAGCGAGAATATACAGGCCAAAGTCCTGAAGCAGTTACTACCTTTTCATCTGGCATATGTTCACCAAGTTGTTGAAGAGGCTTTAAAATTGTACATATTAAATTTAAAAGTTCAAGTTACTTATTATTTCGAAGCAGTAGTAGAGCCTTGGAATTTGATATAATTTCATATAAAACATTACAAAGAAGTACATGATGGTCTTTTATAAGCTCACGTGCTGGCAAGTAAGACCAAGATCGAGTCTCGCAAGCACCTGTCATTACTTTAATCGGAAGTTGATGATTTTCTTGGGCTTTTTTAAGCAACCGGCGCATATTTGAACTATAATGGAATTTTGCTTGAATTTTGGTCACTTTATTTATTATGTAATTTACTGGTTTCAATTTTAGAGCAGCTGAAACACCATTATTTAAAGTTTACCCAAAGCAGTTAACATGAAATAAGTCCAATATAGTTGTACCGCCTTAATCATGTTAGTACCATTGTCAGTTGTAATACCTGATATTTTTGAAAGTGGAATTTTCCAATCTTTGAGAACATAAAGTACCATTTCCTTTACATTATTTGCTGTATGTTCTATGTCCAAGCTTGTACAACTTCGGCAAAATGTTTTCAACTTTCAAATTTCTTTAATCCCATGAGCAGTAATTGCAATATAAGGATGTATTCAGTATTGTATTTGAAGTCCAACAATCAAATGTAAAGGCTACATACTGTATAGTCTGAAGTTAATTTGCTATTCGCATTTTTACATCAGCATAAATAGCTGGGATTTTAGTATCAGCAAACACTTGTCTACTAGGAACTATATAACCAGGACACAACATAACCATCATGTGCTTAAAACCTTCTTTTAACACAACATTGTATGGCTGCATGTCAGTAGGAATCCAGTGAGCAATACTATTTGTGTACCTTGTTGACGTCTTTTTTTCACATTTCTTAAATTTGCTTCCCAGTTTACTCTGATGGAGTAATAGTGACTTATTCCTAGAACATGAAAATGTATTATAAATTATACATGTTTTATAAATGATTTATTTAAGAATAAGCCACTTTTAAAATGTATTCATGATGTCTTTTTAAAAAGTATATGATGTAAATAAGTTAGATAACTTTTATAATTATTATCATTATAAAAGTAGTAAAACCCCATAAAGGTAGTAAATTAAAATATGTACTAAATGTTGTCCAATAGAAACATAAAAACAAGAATTTTTTTTAAATATATTTGTATGTAGGTAAATCATTAAGTAAAATATAATTTATTTAACATAGCATTTTTTAAGAATATTATTTTTAATATAAATGTAATCCAAGCTTATTGAAATCCTAGCTATAATTATCTATTAATCTCAAGTGGTTTTTGAAGTCGAAAAGCCTTCTTTAGAAGTTTGACTCTCACTATAAATATATGGGATATCGTTATTTTAGAAGAGTGCATCTTCATCGCCGTTGTTATGTTTTCCGGTAACATTGAACGTGTTAGAATCGTTATTAATTTGTACAACTTCATCAACTTCAGTAGAAGATTCGTCCTCATATCTATAATTATATGATAATAAAATAATTATAGAAAGGGTGCGAGAAAATAATTAAATGTATTTGTATAAAAGAAACATTTTGATGTAGCCATGTAAGTAGTACTTACTAAGTACTAAATAATTCGATAATGCCAATATTTTCGATAAATCTGTAAAATCAATATTATCGGTATTTCAAATCGTAAATTGTTTTATCTAAATCTAAACACTTTTGAATCCAAATACGAATAATATTCATAAAAATGTTTTCTGCCATAACACAAACGTCACAAACCACTCGAGAATTGAGACCATTAAGAATTAAATATTAATACTGTGACGAAGGTACCACGCTACGTTTTAAGAATAAAACATTACGGACCTGACGGTACGACCCACATCGGTATTTGAGATATATTTCTTATTTATTATATAAGTGTTACTATATAGAAGGCCTGTAGGAGTTTCCCACTGGAAATTGTGTACAGTTTTAAATATTAAATGACTTATTTCGGTGTAATCGATAATTTTGATACTTCGGTAATTCAATATCTTTGATACCACCGGTATACCATTTTTAAAAATTAGATGGTATACCGATATATCGACCTCAAATCGGTATACCGGTATTACCGTCACCCCTACTTATTTGAAATCAGTCCAAACTTTATAGTGTTCATCACTACATTTTTTTTATACATTTCATAATTCACTTAATTATTAGTTTTAAAATATAAACAATTTTATGCTAGTAAATTAATAAAGTCAAGTATTATGTGATAATAATATAAAAAATGAAAAATATATTTATATGGATAAGTATATTTATTTGATATATTTGTGTATGTAATAAATAATATAATATATATATATATATATATATATTATATACAATGTATTAAATCTAAAAAAATAGTAATCTTCACATACAATAATAATATATTAATATTACCAGTTAACTTTTTTTTTGAGCCACAAATAAATATTATATCTGAGTACAAATTATATTATATAACACTATTGTATTCAAAAGTAAGAATACCAACAAACAAATTACTTTTAAATTAAAATTTTGATTTTTACAAAGTTAAACTATCAATTTATTAATATCTTTGAGGTACATCTACATAATACATTGGTCCAAATCAACAAATTCAAAATACAGTTAACCTATTACAGGTGTCTGAGAAGGTATTATCTGTAAATCAACATTATAATCACAAGTCCAATAAACGATAACATACAACATTGTTACCAAAAACTAACTAGTTTAACAAGGAAGCATAAACAGAACCTTAATATTCATAACTTTATCACAACAATAAAAATAATAATAATAATAATAATATAATAATAAAAAGAGATTTTACAATCAGATCTATTGTATTTTGTTTTGGTTTACAAATAAAATAGTCAACTAGAGAAAAATTTGATTATTGCTAATTTTATATGGAATAATATAATATAAGTATAAATGTACAGCATACTATTTTATAAATACTAATTTATTTTGAAAATGAATGTATTAGCAAGATTTTTCCTGATATCCCTGAATAAACTTAAAAAACAATTAATATTAAATTCAACTACTTTACTTATTTATTGTTAGTTTAAGGATATGATTCTACTGACTAATGCTAAGTAATAAAACTGTCTTCTTTGTCCGAGAGAAATATATGTTAAAATGGAAACAATATATAGTTTTATATAATACATTTATATAAATACTAATAATCATTCTTATTACATTGTTTATTTTTTTAAAAATATTTAAAATTTTTAAATAGTAGATAATACTGTAAAATTACTAGCAGACAGTTTTATTTAATAGCATAATAATTGCTAATAGTTTTTATAATTCCTCATTAAGGGAAAATCAAATAGTATTTAAAAGCTGAAGTTAATTTATAGTGTTCATTATTTTATCAAAATAATTAATGTGAACTAAAATAATGAAGAAAAACATAGTCAACAAAAAAGATATGTTGAGATTATAATACTCGAGTTTAAATTAAATAAAAAATATAAATGGAAACATATAATAAAGAAACTGATAATTAACAATCTGATGACACAGTGGAATGTTGGGTAGAGCTTTTTGGATCTGGTTCGCCATCACATATATATTTACCTGAAAAAATTAATAATTATAAATTAATGTAACATATTTAAAAAAAAAGTATGTGATTATTTTTGTGTAAATATAAAATATCAGCGTCTATGATAACTTTCAATAATAGAAAAAAAAAAGAAATCAAACTAATAGTTATAGGTACCTACAATGTAATATTTATACATGGCTACAATGTAATATTTATATATGCCTACAATGTAATAGTTATACGTGTATACATATAAGATAAATTAAAGGATCTTAATAATAAAAAAAAAGTTTGCAAATATTGTAAATCAATATTTATTCTGACTGATACGTTATTTAATATGGATGAATATTATTAAAAAGTTTAATGAGATAATTTATTCAACGACGATATCATATAATTATTAGGTACATAGATAATTAATAATGGAAATTTACCAGCAACGAAACGTCTTTTGATTAATGACACTCTATAACCACTACTTGCTAGCTCAAATTCAAGTCCCGATAATGTAGTACCCTCACAGTTGAATTGAGTTACTATAGTTGATATTGGGCATAAGCTGTCAACCTCAAATCTTGCTTTTAGTGAACCGGAACCTTGACTTTCAGAATATTGAGCGAGTTCTGCAAACCTCCAACTTACTGTTTTTGTATCTGATGCCCTATGTTTAAAACAATCAATAAAATTAATTGATTCAACAAAATGTTGATGGATCAAAATACCATTGGGCAGTGGGCTTAGACTGCATATTACGTATAGCTGAGTTCAAATTAGCAGAAACAGTAACATTCAGTAAAGGTGAAGGAACGCTCATGGAGTGACTATTAAACTTGTAGCCAATTTTAAGATCCGTATAAGTATTGCTGCATTTGTAAAATGAAACTAATTGGAACGGACATGAAGCGGCTGCAGTATTGCGCAATTTTACCTAAAACATGGAATAAAAAATTAGAAATTGTCAATTAATTATCATGACATTAATATAACTAACTTGATATTTAAGAATATCAACATTAAAATAAGATGCAACTGGATTTTGTTCAAATTGTTTACGTAATAACGAAGTTAGAGCAGGCATATTGAACTCATAAACAGTTGAATCAGTGGATGTAAATAAATTATCACTGAAAAAAAAAAATTAAATATTTTGATTTTTTATAATTATTGTCACAATTTTTCTTACGTTAAAACTAATTGTTTGTTCGGAAGAATATTTTCCACCCGTGTAGTGTTCTTCAATCGAAACGTTAATTTTGCTGGATTTGGATTATTTGCTAAAATATTTGCAATACCTGCAGGAAACGATACCATCATATCTCCAAACATTTTTACTTGACACCTAAAATAACATTTTAATAATAATCTGATCGACAAATCTTATAAAACATGTTATTATTTTAAAAACACAATGTACCCAAATATTGTATTCAATGTCCCAATGTCACGAGTAAAAAATTTGTTTACCATTATACAGTTGTGATATCATACCAAAAATAATAACTCAATTTTGTACATGCTCTAAAGGGCTCTGCAAGAGGCTGAAGAATCCTATGGTGTTCTATAAGTCAGAAGAGAGCATCTTTCTTATCCATCAAGGAGGATGAAGAGCAACAAGTTGAGAGGCAGATTAGATGAAGCTAACCTAACCTGTTGTTGTTAATTTATTTTTATTATAAGTAAATTATGTAGGCTCTGGCCACATAATATGATGTTATAATATATCAATATATGATTTTCTGGTAATTATTGCACAATAAATTATGCAGCTGAGGTGGAAGTAATATGGCCTCAGTTGCAAAACAGCATGGGAAAATAAGATACCTACTCAATCCTGTAATTATTTACTTAGGAAGAGTATTTATAAATATATTAGACCACAATTCTATATCTCTGTAAAAATGTTCTTATAAAGTAAATAATTAACAGTATTAAGTACCTGATATTCTTGGATTGCTTAACACAATACAATATGTATGATATAACACAACTTTATAGTGATAAAAGATTTAATTTTTTATTTAACCATTTTTTTTTCTTTTTATTGAAACATTATAGAGGGTTTTTGATGTTTCAAAACTGTTAATATATTTATAATACCTTGATTCATTTGATCCTTTGAAATATGCATGGATTATTTCATGAAAAGCAACAGCCAGTGGAATGGAATCACATAAGCCAATAGTTAATGGTGATGGACCTCTAGATGGTCCTAAAACTCCGGAAGATCGAAAATCAAGACTGGACACACTGTCTGTTCTGCCAATACTTATTGGACTAAGTTGATTACGGGGTCCATTGTTCTGTGAACCAAACATTTATTTTAACTGATTAGAAATGTATCATTTTTATGCAATGTACACATTTAAAGAATATTAAAAATATTTATTAAGTATAGTAGCAATATAAATATTTAAATACTTACCCCTTTTTTTTAAATATTACAGTTATATTTAAATGTAAAAAAATTTGTAATGATAGAACAAGTGCAAGCAACTGTGGATAGCTCTAAAAAAAAATGTTTCATACCCAATAAACTAATAGTGAGACTAATAATGAATTCAGACGTATAATGAACAAACCTATTGTAAAATATGTTGTTAGGAAAATTATCTACATTATTTGAATTCAAGACTCGTCTGAGACAAAGTGATGTGTTGTCCGCAGTGCTGTTTAAGCCCTAGAAGAAGTGGTTAGATACATACTAGACCTCAAAGAAATGGAATTAATAGGACCCTATACTTTGCTCGCTTATGCATATGATATTATTCTACAAGAAGAATGCTGAGGAGAGTGCAAGAAAGCTAATATTATACATTAGCAATATGGTACTACTTGTTAACGAAAACAAGAAAAAATTAATGGTGATGATTAGAAACACATCAATGAATGGTACTCTTTGCACCAAAGTGTTTACATTCGTGCGGGTATAAAGCAGGACTTTAAGTACTTGGGAGTTAACATTGATGAAAAAAACCATATTTGCAAATGATATCACAATGAGAATTAATACGGTAAACAGATGTTACATCACGATGAAAGATATGTTTTCCTCCAAGGTACAATCTAGACGTACAAAGGTCTGCTTTTACTGTATGTAAATGAGGCCTACAGTGACTTACGTATGAGAGACATGGTCTAGCACTAAAGGAAATGAAAATAAACTACAGAAGTTTTGAGAGGAAAATATTGAGAAAAATAAATGATCAGATATACAATAATGATTTCAAAAGATTTCAAAGAAGAAAGTCTACGGCCATTGTATAATAAGCTAAGTCTACAACATTTCTTAGGCAGACAGATGCTGAAATGGGCGGAAAACGTCTGGCGAGCAGAGCACTAATTAACACGTCGATTGCCATGTGGCTACTGGAGATCGCACAATATTTATCATTGCCAAGTATATATTTCAGTGTCATTACAAATTTGTTTATACTGTTGTATTTGAAAAAAAAATTTAAAAATATAAAAAAATATGTTTATTATATCAAAAATATTGTAATGCTTCTCGCTAAGCCACTGCACTTTTTTTAGTGCAATATTGTAGCGCCTTGGAAAAGTTAATAATAGAAAACCATACTAATTTATGGCTGCTGGCGGTCATATAGCGCATAAATAATAACAAGGTGCGACCTCCGGCATCTGTAAAAATATGGTTGTATCCCAATACTCTGAGGACGCCGGTGGCCGCATAGCAGTCAACATATTAAGGTCGCAGAAAAAAAGTTAACGGAGTTTGACCATGAGGTAGGTCCTGGCAGTGCTAGATATGAGAACGGCACAGAATAGAAAGAAGTGGAGGAGGGAAAGGGAAACAGTGATAGTCGTAGAGAGACTGTTATAACTTATAAGCCTTTAGGTTAAAATTTTAAAGTAAATCTTAGTAAAATGTCTGAAATCCATCACATTAATATTATTTAAATAATTCTATAATTACCTCACGCCGTGAAGGAGGACGAGGAATAGAAATAGAACACACCGGAGGAGTGGTTGATGGAGGTCCCTGTTTTGGTGTGGACTGTTGAGCATCTCCAACATCGAAAAACAAGTCTCCTAGATCTAAACAATTTTAAATTTTACTACAATATACTTTTTTATTATTTTATTAGATAAAATATCTAATATATTCCATTACCTGCGGCATATCTTGAAACCACAGGAAAAACATTTGGCGGAGAAATGGATTTATTAGTTAATGATAATGTAGGACTATTCATTGAAGTACTTTGCTGAACTGGGTTAGGAGTGGGGTCGCTGGGTTGAAACAAATTCAGTCCTATCAGATCATTACTTATTTTTCTAAAACATATATAATTGTATTGTTGTAGTTTATAAATATAAATTAATGTATTATTGTATTATTTAATTATTGCTTACACAGTATTCAATTGTTGAGAAACAGATTTAGAACGTTTCATGGTACCATCATCATTAACTGATCCTCTTCGATTCTAAAAATTATAATTTTAAGTAAAATTTGACACATTTTTTTTCTTCTAGTTACCTTTAAAGTATGTGTTCCTAAAGGTAATAATGATATGTTTTCAACAGTAGCTCTTAATTCATCAACACTTGCACTGATTGGGCCTGCCCCATTGCTTAATGGTTTTATCTCAACATGTAGTCTTTTATCTCTTTCTTCATCTAGAAAAACATTCATTATAAGTATACATGGTTTTGCATTACAACAAGTGCAAATTAAGAACCTGAATCAGAAGAAGAATCAAATGTTTCTTCTTTATCGACAGTCCATTGTCCTGATGGCTGAATACAGTATCCTTCATCATCAATTTCTGGAGCATTATTTTTTGGCTCTTCTTCTTTTTCTTCACTAAAATTCATACCACAATTTAGTATATAATAAAATGTATGTTATATCACAATTTTTATTTACTTGTCAGATTTATCTTCTTTACCAATTGTTTCACCACTAGAGTCCTTTTTCTTTTTAGTTTTCTTTTCTTTGCGTTTGTCTCGTCTGCTCCTTAAAAACCCTGAACACATTAAATTTCTTAACCAAATTACACAGAAAATACAAACCATTGAGCACACAATACAAAGAGATGGGTATGCATAACAGTATATTAAAGGTATAGTAAAAATTATTAAATGTCTTAAAATACTAGATTCTCTTTGTATTTGGCACTTAGAATCATTTCAATAAATAATACTAATGATAAAATAACTGTGAACAACATACATGCAACTAGAATAAAAATAAAATTGTATTATAAATAAATAATATAAGTAATCATTTAAAACAAATGCAACAATAAAAGCCATTTCAAAGGATTTATAAAGGATGAAAAGAATTCGGAATGTTCTGTAGTTAATATGTGAAAAATTATACTTATAGCCGCACTTATAATATATTTGGCCACCTTGAAATTAGTTAACTTGAAGGTTGTGTACTTGTATGACAGCATGCTAAATATAAAGATATGTTAATAAAAAAGATTTAATTTTTAGTCTTAAAAGCATAGTTAACTGTAATAATTTATAAATCGCATATATAGTCCAAAAATTAAATAAAATATATTTAAAAAATATGTAATATAAGTTTATGAATTTATTGATAACTTTCAAAATAAATAATTTAAATTAACTATTTATAAAACTATAATTAGTTAATGTATTTTTTAATTGCATTATTGATTCGTAGAAGATAAATATGTTATACAAAAAATATTTAAAGATTTTTAAATTAAATATGATCGATGCATAAACAATATCTGTAGATATAGATAGATAGCTAACAAAAGAAAAAAATATGTATACTATTTGACCATTCTCCTTAATACAAAAGTTGCTAATTTATTTGTAGTTGATAAATTCAATTACTTCATGATTAAATGTATGTAATACAATTACCAACTAATAAACTAAAAAAATATTACATCTTAATAGAATATTTTTAGATCATAATATAAAAAAAATTGAATTAATGGCGTAATTATAAATGCTACCTTAGATCATAATTTTTAATTGAATTCTGTTAAGATATATTTTGCTTCACGTAGAAAAATGTATTATTATTGAACAATGTAATGCGAACAAATAATAAAAACATAAAAGCATAGAATTGCATTTAATCATTATTATAAAATTATATACAACATCGATAATTTGCTTAAAAGAAATATTAAGATAAATATATATGTATAAAATATGTTTCAGAATAGTAACTAGTGTATTTGTTAACACTAATTCTACATTCTAAATGAAATATTTATTTTATACAAAACTAATTTTAACAAAATTAGAAAATATTGTACACCTGGATTATTATTTCAATTATTTAATTATTAACTGTAAAATTTAATTTATCTGAAACTTACTTCATTCATATTTGTTTAAAAAGTAAATACCAAGAATAAGAACTCAACAAAATCTGAATATAGCGCTTAAGAAGGGAGCATAAATTCATTGATCTAAAGGAAAATGCTACAAAAATATGTAAACATGCAAGAAACTTTACACCTAAGGATCAATAATAATAAACACAAATTACATTTCGATCCACGAATAGAATTCTGAGGAAGTGAATAAGCTGTGTGATCAGCACTTAAACTGACAGTTCTGTTTGATTTTGAAAAAGCACCTGTAACACAGCTTTTACTTAAATAACAACACAAAAGCTTATGATTAATTTACATAAATAATATGCATGCATTATACATAATTTGGCAGGACAATAATGAATAATGATCAATGATATGTACATTTTGAATAGCATAGATATTGTGCTTAGTATTTTGTAATATGTTATTACAGTTAATATGAATAAAAATGCACTTAACAATTGCTATAATCAAAAAATGAAAAGAATAAAATTAAGACCACTTTGAAATTATAAATGTTTTTCTTTCCAAAAAATATAGCTTATGAAATTAAATCAACAATTATTATAAACACAAATTACTAAAAATGTATAAGAACATATTAACTATAAGTAGCAATTACAAACAAAATTCATGTGCGATTATTTTATCATAAATTTGTTGATAAATATAAAATAAATAAACCTGTTGTATGCTACTCTTCAATACAACTATAATAATATAATATAATATCATATGCACCACACTTTGGAACGGACCAATGATAAAATTCATGTACATTTATAATATTTTGTTAATTTTAATTATTTCTACACTTTTCAATTTCCTTTTAGCTTTAATTAATAAATAATAATTGTACATGATACTCTTACAATATTCAAAAATAATGAATAATAATAAACCAAAAATGTATAGTAAATCAAACAATTCTAGTAGACCATTCTCAAATTCCTTCAATACCATGCAGTTAAAATTATATGTTTATAAATAACTTCATTGATACCTAACTCATAAGCCAACAGAAGAAAAAATGAATAGGTAATATTTTAAATTTCCCATTTAATTTTTGGCATTAAACATTGCGGAGTGCATTTCAATATTTTATTAAGTTATTGAACTATTAAAATTTTTCCGTTAAATTGTAAGTACTTAGATTACATTAATATTAAAGATTTTCTTGAAAAAAACAAACAGTTTCAATAAAAAATTTTTTTAACAATTTTTCAACAGAGAGAATTAAAATTATGCAAAATCAAAATGATTTCAATACAACTGTATTCCAAGTGTTTAAGAGTAATGAAATTGAAATAATGAAGAAATTTAACACTAATATATTAAGGGGATTGGTCAAGTCATACTAACTAGTATACATCAAAAACGTAATCGTATAAAGCAACTAAAAAGATGTTTGATATTACCGATTGCTGGTACGGTGCAGAAAAAAATTCTACTATAATAGCAGTTCCGGTAGGCCAATTGCGAGGTTGAAAAAAATTTATTGTTAAATGAACATACCATGGGAGTTGGAGATGAATATATTGAGTAAGGATGTTGCTCTGGAGGACTGGTAATTGGTAGCATCTTTCTTGTCCCTTACACGGCAATTACCTTCACGTTTTGCCGTAGAAGGCTTTTCAGACGCTACACTAGCTGCACATGAGTTTTGTGGCGTACTCGTGAATACTGGTGAATTCGTCCCTTGAATTGATTTTGAATCACTTGACGAGTCTGGGACCTGATTCAAACTACTAGAAGTGCTATTCAGACAAACTTCCTCAAATTCGATGTTTTCTTGATAAGGTAAAAACAATTTAGAGTAAAAAGTTGAGTACAATTAAAAAATATATTATAACTACATATTACAGAGTATACTCTGCGCCAGGAGTGAACATTACCATGACCCGACCAAAATGCTTCTGATACGGGGGGTATCCCCTCTCAACGACTACGGCTTGTTAATGTTCAATAGTTTCAGCGACACTTTGATATAAAATTATACAATCTATACCATCATGGCACAAAGTGGGGAAAATGGGGCCTTGGACTAGTCACAGCCTGCATGCGTAAAACGGTAATGGTCTCTCCTGGCTCAGAGTATAGTATAATGTATAGGGTTAGGATGATTATGACTAAATTACTTTTAAATTTCATTTCTTTTAGTAAGTTCCCTAATTGCAGACCAAATGATAAACATTTTTCTTTTTAAATCTATGATTTAAAAATTTAATACAAGATTCCTCATAAATTTGTCTAATTTTATAAAAAACAAAATCTCTACAAGAAATTCTAATTAAATTTTTATAAGCGTTTGAAGTTCATATATTTACAACATTGGATATTCACGAGATTTCTCATGTAGTGATTTGTTATTTTGTTGTTATTCAAAAATGAATAACCGTAGACCCTTGAAATTTATATCATATGTTTATTTTATTAATTCAAACTTGAACAAACTTTTATACTTGATAAAATATTCAAAATTTTGAATTGTTTTAAGCTGTTTAAGGACAATAGGGCCCTGTGCTTGGTTATTTTGTTGTAATTTTATAATATTAATTGAACTTAACGGCTACTTTATTGATAATAAGTAATAACAATATAAATATAATATAAAATAACCTCACTGACAAACCGTCACAGCTCAGAATCGTTTTTCATGTACAATGATATTATATCATTGAACTCAAATTTAATAAAATCCATTATACAGTGACCTACTTGTAACCTACTGTTCAGCAGAGCGACATCCACTTACCCACCTTTATTAATGTTAAATTAGTTATTTTTCAGTATTTTTCAGTGTAATCACTAAGCTGATAAGTGATAACCCCCATATTTTATTTTAGACAAAGAAACATAATAGATCATCCGTTAGCACACGACAAATAATATGTCAGTATCAATGAGAATGTTAAATTTTAGATTTCAATGAAAATGTTTAAAAATAATATTTTTTATTATTAAATTTTGGATATACATGCATAATATAATATATATAAGCTACACAAGCATATCACACACACCTTTAAAGACATTTGCCTATAGGCAGTACCCTTAGTCAGGGCCCCACAAGGGGGGGGGGCAGCTGTTGGAGCTGGAGTACAAGACCCTAGATATTACAAGAGCCTATTGAAATGAAATTTCAATTTTTGATAAGAACACTTATTTTGTATTAAATAATATATTAATATAGAGCCAGCAAAACATTTAGTACTGGGACCCAAAATTTGATGTGGGGGTCTACCAATTGTTATTGTTGGTGTCATTACTCACACAAGCGCTAGAATATAAAACATGTAGTTCCTAATAAAAATCTATTAAAATGTTGAGCATATTTTTTTTTAATTTGAATATATAATGAAAAATAAAATTTTTAACACATTTTATAATATGTCATAACTGACCATTTTAAGGGTATCTTTGATCATTTATGAGCATATTTGCATATATTTTTAGATTTGTTCATTTTGTTAGATAGAAGAATATTTTTTACAGGGCGCATTGGACTTTGATTTTTGATTACGTTGCTAAAAATAAATAATAATACAAAAACTAAAAAGTTGTAAAAATGGATTAAATTCAAACTTGTAATATAAGATTTCAAAAAATAATTCTGAAAATCCAAGTCCAATGCGCCCTGCAATACGTCTTTCTCTATTTAACAAAAAAAAATTACGGAAATCGGACCAATCTACAAGGCGTGAGAGTTTTTCCTGTAAGGCATGTTTTTGAGCAAAAAACAGGTCGCGACCAGGCCCCTTAAGTCATAAACATATTAACCCTAAAGATGTGTTATGTATAAAGTACCTGGTTTTTCTAATCCTGTATATTTAGTTAAAACGAATTGCTCCAACAATTTATCCACAGTCATTTCTAAACATTGTTTTTTGAATTCAACATGCACCTAGACATGACAAAATCATTAATTTATACATATGCAATACTTGTTTTATTTAATTTAATAAACTAATAAAGTCATGGTTGGAATATACTAGGTTATTGCATTTATACACCTTCTCAATAAAATATTTTATGGTAAAAACAATAATGGCAGCGTAAACGGAGCCAACAATAATTAAGTACACGTGAGAGGGAATTTTGAATTTGTTAGCTTTTGTCAGTGTTTTTGATGATAAAAAAATGTTTTTTGTGATATTAATTTACACATCCATTTTGTTTCTGATGACAACAATCCGAGTCAATATGCAATAACTTGTATATTTCAACTATGAATAAAGTATAAGTTATATCTTTGATTGTCACATTCTAAATTAAAATACTAATTTTAACTAACTTTTCCAATTTCTTCATGATTAGATTCAATTAACTCAGTATAAACGTTGAGAAAATCTTTCATTTGTTTTAGATGTGACTGTTCAACTTCTTGGAAAATCTATGTAAGAAATTTAAATTAACTCAATAAGTTTAAGAAGCAATATTCATTTTGTTATTTAGGAAATAAAAAACTATTTTAACCTTGCAAGCTGTATTCATTTTTTTTTCAAATTCTTCTTTTACATTACTATATTTGTCAACTAATACTTTGTAATCATCTTGAGCTTTTTTCAATTTTATTTCGGCTTTTTCAATGTCCTTGGCAGATGCATTATCTTTTCTGAGTTTATCCAACTCTCCACCTTTTTGTACATAAATGTCTTTTGCTTTTTGTAAGGCTAATGTGGTTGACTGAATGGCTTGTACAGCATCTAAAGTTCCACTTTGTTCTTCTTTAACCTAAAGTATTTGTTATAGTAAAAAAGAATTTCAGTTGTAAATTCTAAATTCTACTTACATTTTTATGTTTTTTTTGCAATTCATCTGTGTACTTAGTAACATCCTTTACTAATTCACAGACTTTATGTACCATCTGTATATGTATTGTGGTTAATTTCTCAATAGATAGACGAAGTAATTGCCATAAGGGATTAAATGTCCCGGTATTTGAACTACTACTTGTTTGTTTAGCTAATTTTGCAAGTAATTTTGAACATGTTTCCTCAATGTTAGTCCTAGTAATAATAATATATTCATTAGGTATATTATACACATTTAGATAGTTAACACAATATATTTTCAGTTATTATTTGAATACGGCTTAGATTAAACATACATAGATAGCCAAAGACTGCGTAGCGTTTGGAAACCATGTTCTTGGGGATCATAGATTATGCAGCTAGACGTTGTCAATATAATATCATAGCATAGTACCCGAGAAATTTAGTTTGTACATGAGTCCCTATGATACTATAGACAACATCTATCTGCGCTATCTATGATCACCAATAAAATATGGTTTCCAATTAATGCTACTTAGTCGTAGGCTATCTATATATGTTTAATCTATGAATATTACGGTTTATATAAGCTAGATATTTACATAAAAATGAATCAATTTACCTTTCTCTTAAAAAATCTGATAGATCCTTATTAGCAATCAATCCATGTTTCATATTATGATACAAAATGTCGAATCCATTATTTTTTTCACCCTAAAACAGTTGGAAAATTAAAATTATTATTTGTGTTAGGGAAAATAGTATATGCATTAACTGTATAAATTTCCTTTTTTTATTTTACAAATTTAGATTTTTGTTCAATGCTCTGATTAGACTTTGGTTCTGGCCAATATGTTTTACGCAACAGATTAAGGCAATTGATCTACTGGTTTATAGATACAAAATATATCCAATGCTCATTGTATCGAACATTTTCAATATTCAATACCAATATCAAAATTAATAATTTTGTACCAATGTTTAAAATGGAGAACTTTTTTTTAACTACACAAGTATGGCATACCTACCTCATTTGATAGAATTAAAATATAACATTTTAAAATACAAGTACTTAATAAGTATTCAATATATTTTACATAAAATGTATAACATGGATAAATATAAATTTAGGTAAATTAAATTAGTAAATTACCCATAACTATCGATTGAAAATAGTTCATGGAAAAGTGTTAATCAATGACTTTAATGACAATAAAATAAAATAAATAATAATCATCTAATATGTTCTATAGTATGTCTATGAAAAAAATATTGTACTTATTATCTACAATTGGTGTGTATTATTTATTATTGAGGCTACAGACAGTATACCGTATTTAATCTTACTTATTATTACATTACATTTATTATCTTGTAAATAAAATTATTAATCAAAAAAATAGAATAAAATTTCCAAAAAAAAAAATATATAAAAGTCAAATATAATGTTAATTTTTTTGATATTTCCGGTTTTGTTGAATTGACCAGTCTTTTATAAAAAAAATGAGTACCGCTACACGTTATAAATATCGAAGAAAAGTCAAGCCTTAATCACAGATGGTATTCTTACTTAAAAGTTAGAATATTGGTCTATTCACTTTGATATCAAAAAAAACATCAAACTATTGAAACTAGTGAATGAAAATTTGGTATGCCGTTCATAAGAGGGATACAACAAACACATGGGTAGCGTCCTTTTAATAACTCATAAATTCATTAATAAAAAAAAAAATATTTTGAAAATTTTGATTATTTAGTGAAATAATATAATAGGTACATACACATTTAATTAAGTGAAAACAATAAATATATTTTTATTTTTTCAAGTTTATTTTTTAAATACCTGCCAACCTCCGACCTATATTAGTTTATAAACAGAAGTGCAGTGTGTTATACCTTATACCTACCCAATTAAACTTGTATATATTATTGTCCTTATACTGCCCTGCTAAGCAAAAGTGCCGTAGAAACCAATATGTTATTTTGAGAAAAATTCAGTTTTTATTTTATTACAACTTTATTATTTGTTAGTCTATTTGACTTAGTATAAAAAATATCCATCTTTATAGTTTTTTTACTAGGAATTTAATGAAATAATGATTTAAAAGTATTATTCACTTATTATACAAATAAAAGTTACTTTTATGGTATTACTTAGCAATATAAGCCGTTTATACTTTTATTTACTAAGTATAAATGCCGTAACTAAATTGTAAGATAATAAACAAATAATAAATAGTTCAAGACAACCGTGAATATAATACTGACAAATAATAATCAGAACCAAAGTCACATTACTATTTTATCTTAACATACCTAATGGCCATATAAAATAATAAACTTTCCAAATAAAAATTACGAAGAAAACAATTTAGAAACTATTAATATAATATATTGCCGTTATTTCAGAAAAAAAAGTTGCAATGTTAGGTAATAACACAATAACTCGGGTAGACATAGAAGTGTTATGCGCAAACGCCATATCTATAAACATATTTACGGCGTTCTTACTTAGTACTTCTAATGTATTTTGATACCTACGGCGTTTTCAAGGAATAGTAATTGAGTTTATAGTTTATTCAATATAATTTCAGGAGTAGTTTTTTTACAAATATTGTTTAAAACTGATAAATCTATCAGATATTTAACTTATTTTTAAATTTTTTTCGAGTTACGGCACTTTTGTTTAGCAGGGCAGTATATTATTGGTTGTAAAAAATCATATAAATAAAAATACCTATTTTTAAATTTCATAAGACATATTGTCTAGCAATGAGGGTTTTAGGTACATTAAAATACATAATATACTGATAGAGTCAATTTATTAGTCGATTCAAACGCATTAATCAACTGCTTGATCAAGCGGCATAGGAAGTATATGACATGGGCAAAAAAATATAAATGACATAACTATAAGATGCTGTATTAGAGCATCGATCAGTCGAGGAATCATATTTATCCGGTACAACCATCGTGTGTAGCAAAATCGAATAGAATAAATAAAAAAATCAAATACAGCCGTGGGGTCAAAAACATAATTGGTATTGATTGGAGTCAACTAAACATAATGAGAAACAATTACGACTGGGTATGAGTGTATGTCCGTGGTATGAATGACATGTACCTACGTGCGTGCGTTTATAACGTATATTAAACGACTAAGTTATGCCCAAGAACACAGCCTAGTGCCTACCTAGTTGACGAGAGACGAAGATAGGTAGGATCGATACCGTCGATTATTGATTCGATGGACGCTAATAAGCTTAAGAGACAAACGATAAATAAATATTTACCCAAAAATAGTCGCAAAAGTCAACAGTCATGATGAACGACGTTCGGCGCTGGTCATTCCAAAATCAAAACGGAAGTGGCGAAAACGTGCGGCCGTTTCCGGTCGTCGTCGGCGTGTGTGCGCTTATATTGGTCGCTGGACGGCGGTCCGCACGAAACGAGCGCGAAATGATGTGACGCCTCAAGCAGGACGACTGCAGTGGTTGTGGTTAAAACGCAGCTTCGAAGCGGAATTCGGTCGCGTCGTCCGACGGCAAGGAAGAGACCGACCGACGGGACTGATAGCGTATTAACATTTACAACCAGAGTGTGCGAGGGAGACGGAGATGAGTGATTGTGGAAAAAAAAATTATCGGACTCGCTATCACTGTGCTAGCCAAAAACGGTTTACGCCCTCTCGGCGGCCCCGCGAACCGCCGCCGGCGCAACGACGCGACATTGCGACACCGCGGCGCAGCACGCCCACGATGCGATCATGGAAGAAACCAGAAGCGTTCCGACAAACGCCTGCCGCCGCCTCCACTGTCGGTATGTGGTATATTATTAATAATAATACGGGACATGTTATGCGGTGCGCGTGCGATGCTCCGACCCGACATACCCACCGTAGTACCGTGTTACGCAATATTGTTATTATTTTTGTTGTTGTTGATGTCATCACCCGTTGGCTATGGTCCGTAATTAAAATGAACTCGTTGACGTTCGATGCAAAACAAAATTAACATTTTTTAAAATAAGTCAATTCCCCCAGGGCCCAGGCCCAGTTTCTACAAATAAATATCATGGATTTTAGGTATAAACTTATAACTAATAAAGATTATGATTTTAATGTCGGTCGCCTCAATCATCAGTTGTCGACTGTCAGTTGTCATATATCACGTTTCAGTTTCAACCAGTTCAGCGATTACGTCTTATTTGAATGCTATGATATATAATATACAGATGGATGATCGTGCGGGTCGTGGGGTGACCAACAAACGCGATATTGCTCCGGACGCTCAGATCCTTTACAGTATATGTCAAGGCCATGGACCACCCATAGATGGTGGATTATAATATTCCCCCTCCCTTGGAAAATTTAATACCATTTGCAACAAAACAAAAATAAATTGTCGTTTTTATGACTTGGTAATTGGTTATTACTTATTGCAGATTTTTACCGACCCACGCCTTTTTGAAAACAAAAATTTTTTCGATATTATGTTTTTACGACTTAAGTTTGAACGTAGGTACCTACTAAACTGTTGCTTTTTTGACTGTACCGGTTGATCCATCAATAATAAGAGACGTCTAATTATTTCAAAAACTATAGGTATTAACATTTTCGAATATTTTTTTTCATATAATTTTAAGTTATAAAAAAAACATTTTTATCTTTATAATTTTTTTATTTTTACTTTTTTTAACGTCAACATGAATTTTTAATTCCTTATTTCAAAGCAGATTTATAAGAATAAAACCGAATTTTCGACGAGTATAGATTATGAATTATAAATTATAACTGTAGTTAAAATATAGATTACCTATATAAGTACCTATACTTAGGTATTTAATTGATATTAACTCGATACATTAAAAGTTAATATAGACAAAAATATTAATTTAACTCAGTTTAATAAAAGTTAATCTATACTTATTTTGATTAGTATGTGGATTGTGGATCACATGAAGAGTAACTGCGTTTTTTCTAATTTCCTAAATTATAGTAATTAGTAAACAATTGTATTGAACTTTTATCGTAATGTAGGTACCTACCTATAGTACCAGTGCAGCTGTATACAGGTACCTATTTTACTTTACGTCATTACATGATAATTATATTATTTATTTAATATTAAATAAGTAAACTACACACATCTCAAGTCATAATTTAATAAATATTAATTGTTTTTGTATAAAATACTAAATAGCAATTTAAGGTCATATATCTACTAGCATGCCTATATATATCTTTAGACTACTACAATATATTTATCTATATTAAAAACTATTTTATCAAGAAATGTTTGTATATTATAATATAATTGTATTGAATTATTTTTATATTCATATTTAAGTAGGTACGCATAAAACTATAAGAACGAACAATTTTAAAATTATATCATTTACTGAGAAAAGTTAAATTATTTCAACTGTCAATTTATTAAAATAGTTAACTTTATTAGTTGATTAGATAATTAACTAACTAGTTAAGTTAAAAAGTTAAAAAGACAATATTAACTTAACTTTAACTATATAACTACCTACCTAGTTATAGGTAATGCCCATCTTTGCTATATAGCTATTCCGCTCATCTAAACTTGATACATAAATACATAATAATATAGTTATATGTTATAACTAAAAAACTACCTACCTATACAGTGATTTTTATAAATCGAAATACTACCTGTATAAAGTAGGTAATATTCTATTTTGAAATATGAAATAAAAATGTTGTCATTCAAAATAGTATAAAAAGCTTAAAAAATTGATAACGATTAAAAAAATGGTAAATGATAATTTAATAATAAAAAAGTCAAAAACCATTGTTTATAACGACTTAAAATTATGTAAAAGAATTATTTTCAAAAATAATAATTTTATTTGAAATAATATTAGTCAAATGGTCGTTTAATGGATCACTCCGTATATAGTATATAAATATATAATCAGTGGCGTAACTGGAGTAGGAGCATAAAAATGTTTGGGCCTTGCGCAATCTTATCCTGCAGTTAATTTCGAATTCCAAGAAATAATAAAAAAATATTGAGGAATCGTCGAATCGACTTTTACAGTTTTACATCATTTAATTTGTTTTCATCTATGCTATACTTTCTATACTACATTTAATATACACTATGTAGACATTGTATAGAAGTATACTAGTATATAGTCTTATCGTGTTCTGATAAAATTGCATTTTTATCCACGACATGCATGTTATACGAAAATAATTAACGAAAAACGATAAAGCGTTATAATATTACAATTCTAACTAAAACTTAAAATAATTAATTTCTATATGTTGATAAAACTATATAACTTTATCAGTATACTAGCTATTAATTAAATGAAATAATAATGCATAACATAGATGCAGCATTCATATCTACACGAAACTTACATGTATTGATCAACATAATGGAGAGAGAAACGATGATTCTCAGTTCTCACTCTCACAGAAGCCATAAAAAATCAAACAAGAGTGAAAAGAGATGAAATGAATTTTTTTTTTTGGACATGAATTATATTTTATGAAGTATACCTATATAAGTACCTATATGGCTATATGCTTGTACAGGCTATACATAATATTGATAGGTACCTATGTCCTATACCTATATTCTCAAACATCCTTGGATTTCTCAAGTTTTTGCTCTTCAGGCATATTGGCATAACCTATATGGCTATATCTCTTCATTTTTATTTTATGTACATTCACCTATAGGTAACATTTTATTTTAAGGGGACGTTACAGTGCCATTTGTTGTCTCCGTCTTACGAGTGTTTAACATATAGCACATTTTGTTCAGCAGAACCCGTTTATCTCCGTTAGTTTAAAAATTAGAGTGAATTGGATACCAATACAATTAACAATAAAATTACCAAAATGTTAGGGACTAATAGTTATTTTTTTTTTGGGGGGGGGGGGCTTAAGTCGCTTAGCCATCACCCTTAAGAAGTGCTCTTGATATTTAGATATTTAGGTATCTGCTAATTACGTAGTTATTAGTAGCCCAATAGGGAAAGGTTTTATATTTAAATAAATATTTGATTTATAAAACTATCTACACATTTTTCAATCTCTATATAAAGCAATTTATATTTATATTATTATCATTTTTTTAAAAAAAAAAAAAATTTTTAATATTTAAAAATAAATAATATATTATGTAGGTATACCTAAATATTATATAAGAACTAATTGTTTGATCAATTGCTTGCTACAACTTTTAAAATAATGATATGTAGGTAGGTAATTTCCAATAAAAAAACAATGTCGCTTCTATAGATACAATAATAAATAAAAATACCATTTATAGTCAATAATACTCCATATTATACTAAACAGTAAACATACATTTCCTATATCCACGCGTACAACGTATTTAAAAATTATAATTTATAACTTACAAGTAATATAAGTATTAAGTATTATCATCGTATTGAACATTTAATATTCCATGATGATTATATTATAGGTATATAGTTATATTACTTATTCTACGTATATACTTTATTTCTTAAAAAGTGTACAATGTTTTAATCTAAGTATGTGGTTTTAATAGGCATTACCAAAAAAAAAAAAATATTTAAAAATAAAAATATAATTTGTTCGACCATTAAATGTACGATATTTAAAATTGAAAAATGAACATTGAAAATTATAGCTTCAATCAAAACAAGGTTTATTTTTTAATGAATTAAAATTTTTTTTCAAAACTTGAATCCTATAACCTTATACAGTTTGGCCAGATGATTATAGGTTTAAATATCACATTTTTGTATACCTACCTAATGTGCAGTCCCCTCAAAAATAACGGGAGATCATCTATTAGTAAATGTTGTAGGCATATGTAGCCAATGTAATAATATTTTTAATTATCTACCTATATTATTTAATATTATGCATTTATATAATTATATTAGCCATTAGGTATATAATAAGCTAGCTGTATACCTTATTATTTATATTATATTTTATATTTATTGATGTTTACATATGTCTAAACTGTAATCATTCTTTACTATTTTAATTTTTAATTTTAAGTTATCTTTCTTATTCCAACTTCAGATTGTTAAAAGTTAACTCTCTACTTCATCACAAGCTTCGGCTTAAAGAAGTAGATAAATGTATTTATATATTATTTTATTATGTTTATATTATACAAATAAAAAAATAATAATAATAATATATTTATACCTATATAATATAATATGCATTCTCGCATGGAAAAATGTTCAAACCATTTTGTCGCATGTCATTAAAAAATATTATGACATTAAATGTGTAATCGTAAAAGTGGCTGACTCGAGAATATTATCAGAA